ATCCAAATCCTGTGCCAGCTCTTGCAGGCTCTCCCCTTTAGCATGGACTCTTGTCCTAGCCCTGAAGATTTTGGACTAATTTTGAGTTCCATACCTGAGTTCTAGAGCAGCTACCAGTGCTCTATAGTCTGCTAACAACTGTCCAAGTATTTCCAGTGGGTGTCCCTTCAGGCTCTTTGCGAGGTACACTGCTTTCTTCTCCTCTGTCCATCCATTCATTTCTGCAAGTAGCTCAAATTTTGCTCTATATGCTTCCCATGGTGCCTTTCCATCAAATTCCTGTGGCTTCCTTTATACTAGATCACCCCTATAGCTTACACTCATGTCTAGAATGTGACTTCTGGCAGGACTGAAGATGTCTGCATTAGGGTTTAGCTGTGAGGTCTGGAAGGGGCTGATTAGGTCCATGGTTAATATATCCTCCCTGTGTAAAGGACAGTAAATTGTCCATTAATGTATTTAATTCGCTTTGAAATTTACTATTCTTTTTCATTTGTGTATGCTGGCTTTCTCTCAATTGTTGGAGACTTTCTTCTTGTTTCTTTTCTCGTTCTTCTTGTTTATTTTATTTTTCTTCCTACAGTTGATGTAATCTCTTTTCTTGTTTCTTTTGCTGTTTGAGCTGCCACTGTTGCAGGTTTCTTGCTACTGCTGTTGTCTCTCTTCTTGTTTCTATTGCTGCCATCAAATCTGCTAAGCTGTAGTTTGATTTGCCACCTTTTGTTTACATCTTCTTCTTCTTTTTTTTTTCCCACTCTCTGACACCAATTTTTACGTATATGCTTGTTTGATAATTTTTTGTAAAAATTCTTTATGAGAAACTTCAGCGATACAAGTCCTTTCTTAATTAAAACTAGTTTATTTTTTTTGGTACAAACTTTGTAATACACTTAATTTCCACAGTCACTTTAAAATTTATTACTTTTATAAACACACGCTATAATTGACAGCGATTCACACACTTTACTTACGATGCCTACAGCTTGCTTGACTCGATTATCTCAATTATTTCTCTTCAATCTATCTCTGGCTTATATACTAAAAAAAAAAAAAGAGTGCATTTAGCAAACGCTGGGACATTCGTGAGGTTACCCGCTAAGTCACAATCTTTTTAGAAACTCCAGCGTGCATTGTCTCAGCGTCGTGCTACTTCCACTGTCGTAACAGTATTTATGTATGCTACAAAGAGATGAGTTTAAGTTACTAAACTTCCTATTAGGCTAGCTCAATCTGACAACAGGTTTTAAATATTGGTTTCACTGTTTGCTATCAGCAAGATCACCTTAATCAACTAACAGAGTTATTTTACTCCATTTACAGGTTAGATAAAAAGCCAATTAAATTATAATAATTGTAAAGAATTGTATTTTTTCTGCATGCTATTATCTTGTGTTCTAAATTACATATCTGAAATAAATAAATTACTTTGTGTACTACCAATAACCGTACCAAAAAGTAGGGTTAAGTTACTTCGAGACTTATAAGAACAAAAACTTGAAAAAGTACAAATTCCCACATGTAAGTATTAATTGTCGTAATATATTTATTGTTATAAAAGTAGCTAAAATGTAAAAAATTGAAACTTGTTAGGTTAAATAGAAAACGGAAATGAAAAAAAAACAAATGAAGGCACAAGCTTGTGATGAGCACAGCCTAATTCTGACTTACCATGCATGCTGGTGACTTAGTCTATTCTTTATACCAAGCTGTGATAAATTGCTTTAGCAGAACACTAAATGCAATGGGAAACCACTAAATCTAAATGACATCAAGATTTGAAAAGCATTAGCTTTGGTTGTAAGAATAAATAGTGTGTAATTGTTGTCTGCTACAATATGTAGTCATTTTACCCTACATTTAGATTTATTTCATATTTTTCAACTTTTCATTTTCCTGACATTGCTGAATTCACTTAGTTATTGTTAAGATAAGAGTAAAAAAAAAAGTATTTGTTTGTAGTTAAGCACAAAGCTACACAATGGTTTACTTGTACTGTGCCCTCCACTATATAAAAACCTGATTTCTAGCGTTAGAGCCAAAAAAAAAGATTAAATATAAAGTTTTATTGAAAAATATTCATATTCATTCAGGAAGTTCTGGAGGTTATGCAAATGAAATATGAAAAAAAAAATTTTTTATTTGTAACATGAAAATCACCTTGCACTCAGATTAGTGAGAAGCTAAGTCTCACTGATTTGGTGAATTCAGAGACAAATCTTTAGTAAAAATGTTTTACTGAAAAAATTCTAATTTAATGCATACAGCATACTTTGTGAAGATACATGTAGTCAGTTTGGAAGTGTAGCAAACGTTAATTCTCCAGTATCCAACGGATCAACCTAGTACTGGAAGTGTAGCAAACGTTAATTCTCCAGCTTCGAATGGATCAGCCTAGTTCCGGAAGTGTAGCAAACGTTAATTTTCCAGTATCCAATGGATCAACCTAGTACCATTTTATTTTTCATCTCTGGTTTTTTATTCAAGTAAATGTTAATTATACCACAGAAAGGTTATTTGTGGAAGAACTAAAGCTTATTCCACTGTGGCAGCTGAAGGTGTAGCAAGTTTCTCTAGCATGTGAGGTGAAAATAATTCCTTTTAACTATCGACTTGGCTTAATTAATGACAGCTTTTATATTTTCCCTTTTTTTGTGTAATTATTGCTCATCTTCACCAACCATTATCTGTTTGTGTCTTGTGGTTAAGACTGGTTCTTCTTGATGATGTACAATATACCTAATGAATTATAGCTGCCACACACACTACTCTCAATGGGATGAGATAACGCTCTTGATTTTCAAATGTTTAGGCTTACCCCAACTTTATTAATCACTCTTTGAACATTGATGTTGAGTCTCCATTCACTGAGATATTTGTGAGTTTATCATCACTATATGACCTAAGGCAAAGGTGCTACAACTCTTAAGCCTAATAAAAAAATTTAATTTCATGGCAGGAATTTAGGTTTAAAATCTTTCAAGCCTTAAGGAAAATTTGGGGCCTGAAGGACTTGAGCTGGTCAGAAACCTTTGTTCCTCTTCTCTCTGCATAATAAAAAAGTTAAAGCCAAACAAATTTGGAGGAGGTCTCTGGGCTTAATTTTATTGAAACACATAGAGTATGATGTTACGAGATGTGGAAGATGCTGACCCAAGCTCATCGAGGAAGCCATGAAGAGACCGTTGTTTGGTAATCGAAGTCAATTCACACGTGATGATAATGTCAGGCAGAGTGAGCAGTCTTTTTAATAAAGGAGAAGCAGACCAAGTACACTAGTTGATGTTTTAATAGTTGCCAAAAAAGTGTTGTGCGATTGAGAGAAAATAAAACTGTACAAAATTATAATAATATGTTGTAACTGAGTCTGATGTACTTATGAGAGTAACAGCCCTTTTCAGGGGGGATAGAATAAAATTATTCATTGCCATGAAAGAATCTGATGCCGTGGGAACTGGAGTGCCGAAAGAAAACCTGTTTTCATGAGTTAGGTGCTGAATAATTTACCTGACCTGTAACCGAGATGTGTTGCTGAAAAGGAAAAGATATGTTAGCATATATCTTCTGCACACTTAGATGTATAATTGTGGTAAGGTTTTTATAATGTGCACTGCAAGTGTGGGCTTATCTGTGATGTTTCCGCACATATTGATGTATAATTGTGGTAAGGTTTTTATAATGTGCACTGCAAGTGTGGGCTTATCTGTGATGTTTCTGCACATATTGATGTATAATTGTGGTAAGGTTTTTATAATGTGCACGGCATATGTGAAATTTATCTGTGAAGTTTCTGTGTACTTTTAGATGTATAATAGTGGTAGAAGAATTATCTTGGAAAGTGATACATTGTGGTAGAAGAATTATCTTGCAAAGTTATACATTGTGGTAGAAGAATTGTCTTGGAAAGTGATACATTGTGGTAGAAGAATTGTCTTGGAAAGTGATACATTGTGGTAGAAGAATTGTCTTGGAAAGTGATACATTGTGGTAGAAGAATTATCTTGGAAAGTGATACATTGTGGTAGAAGAATTATCTTGGAAAGTGATACATTGTGATAGAAGAATTGTCTTGGAAAGTGATACATTGTGATAGAAGAATTGTCTTGGAAAGTGATACATTGTGGTAGAAGAATTGTCTTGGAAAGTGATACATTGTGAAAGAAGAATTGTCTCGGAAAGTGATACATTGTGGTAGAAGAATTGTCTCGGAAAGTGATACATTGTGATAGAAGAATTGTCTCGGAAAGTGATACATTGTGGTAGAAGAATTGTCTCGGAAAGTGATACATTGTGGTAGAAGAATTGTCTCGGAAAGTGATACATTGTGGTAGAAGAATTGTCTTGGAAAGTGATACACTGTGGTAGAAGAATTGTCTTGGAAAGTGATACATTGTGGTAGAACTGTCTTCCTCAATTACATCTGGATGTTTTATTCATGGCAACTGTAGTTCATAATTTAATTTTACTGTCTTTCAGTAATTTTCTATCAGAGTTAATATTGAAAATTTTAAAGTACTTGCATTTTTGAGTCATTAGCTGTTTGTTTCTTTTTTTTTTTTGTAGATGCTAAACCTAATCCACGAAGAAAAGTAGAAGGTGATGTGATGATCATTGAAAACTTAGCTAAAACTGATACTGCCGTCTATCAATGTAATGCTTCTAATGTTCATGGATATGCTTTTGCTGACTTCTATATGAATGTATTGGGTAAGTTTTGACAGAATAAATACATTTATATATAAGATTCTTGATTTTAAATACATTTCCTTGGATTATGCTGGTGATTGTACAAAAAAAAAGATAAGATATCACAAGAGGCCAAACAACCTAAAACTATTATGATTCTAAACTTATTGTACAAGAACAGCATCTTGTACAAGAACGGTTATATCACCAACAAATAATGTTTATCATGACACATAGAGCAGCATCTTTTACAAGAACAATTATAACACCAACAAATAATGTTTTATCATGACACATAGAGCAGCATCTTGTACAAGAACAGTTATAACACCAACAAATAATGTTTTATCATGACACATAGAGCAGCATCTTGTACAAGAACAGTTATAACACCAATAAATAATGTTTATCATGACACATAGAGCAGCATCTTGTACAAGAACAGTTATAACACCAACAAATAATGTTTTATCATGACACGTAGAGCAGCATGTTGTACAAGAACAGTTATAATACCAACAAATAATGTTTTATTGTGACACATGGAGCAGCATCTTGTACAAGAACAGTTATGACACCAACAAATAATGTTTTATTGTGACACATGGAGCAGCATCTTGTACAAGAACAGTTATGACACCAACAAATAATGTTTTATTATGACACATGGAGCAGCATCTTGTACAAGAACAGTTATGATACCAACAAATAATGTTTTATTGTGACACATAGAGCAGCATTTTGTACAAAAACAGTTATAGCACCAACGAATGTTTTATCATGACACATAGAGCAGCATCTTGTACAAGAACAGTTATAACACCAACGAATGTTTTATCATGACACACAGAGCAGCATCTTGTACAAGAACAGTTATAACACTAACAAATAATGTTTTATCATGACACATACAGCAGCATCTTGTACAAGAACAGTTATAACACCAACAAATATATCTTTAGTATGACACATAAAGCAGCATGTTGTAAAAGAATAGTTATGACACCAACAAATAATGTTTTATCATGACACATAGAGCAGCATCTTGTACAAAAACAGTTATAACACCAACAAATAATGTTTTATCATGACACACAAAACAGTATCTGAACTTTCTCTTGAAGCAGTTCTGTATACTCTTTATGTGGGCCAGTGATTTCTTGTTCATCTCTGGATCTTTATATCAATAGCTTCATTTTTATGACTGAATTCTTTGAATTTATGTTTTATATCAGAAACTGGTTATTTTGCATCTAGCTTTGCCACCAACTATTATTGAAGCCCCAGAAGTAGAATCCACAGCAGTCGTCACTTCAACTATTACTCTACAGTGTCGAGTGTTTGGAGCTCCTCAGCCGGAAGTAACTTGGATGCGAGATGGGCAAGAATTGACGGGAGGCCGATATCAGGTCATTTGATTACCTCTCATCTCTTTATTACTACATTAACTTGAGCATCTCAGAAATATTTTTGTAATCCATACTTTTCGCTTTTTCATTTATACATTGTATGTACAGTAATCATTTTGGTAACTAAACCAAAAGTAAATAATAATAAGCATCCTTTTATATAATCTTTAAGAGAAATGATTATAAACTGTTTAGCTAAAGTACTAGATTTATAACTAATTTATAACATTAATTAAAACATCAGTGACTGATTTGTTGATGGCTGCTCTATCTTTGTTACGTTATATTTAAAATAAAGCTAAATGCATTTTACACATGGTATCGATTGTTTTTGAAATTGGAATTCAACAATCATCATGTGACCTACACAGTACTATGTATAGCATTCTACTTTTATACTAGTATTGTTCAGACATTACAGCAATGTTTAGTGACATGTTCATGTAACAAACATCATATGTCCTACACAGTACTATGTATAGCATTCTACTTTTGTAACAGTATTGTTCAGACATTACAGCATTCTTTAGAAACATGCCCATGTTCAGTAATTTGTGCATGTTACAACCATATCTCCTACACAGTAATAACAACTCCATTGTTTAGTGACTTGTTCATGTAACAACCACTTTGTCCTACACAGTAATATCAAGTCCATTGTTTAATGACTTCTCACGTAACGACCATATCTCCTACACAGTAATATCAACTCCATTGTTAGTGACTTATTCATGTAACAACCATATCTAAAGAAGACTTTTAATAACAGCATTGTTGAGTGACTTGTTCATGTAACAATCATATATACTGAATGCAACCATATCTACTACACAGTACTAGCAACTCCATTGTTTAGTGACTTGTTCGTGTAACAAGCATATCTACTTCACAGTAATATCAACTCCATTTTTTAGGACTTGTTCATGTAACAACCATATCTAGTGAACACTTATAATAATAGCATTGTTTAGTGACTTGTTCATGTAACGACCATATCTACTGAACAGTTTTAATAGCAGCATTGTTTAATGACTTGCTCATGTAACAACTATATCTACTACACAGTAATATCAACTCCATTGTTTATTGACTTGTTAATGTAACAACCATATCTACTAAACACTTATAATAACAGCATTGTTTAGTGACTTGTTCAAGTAACGAACATATCTGCTGAACAGTTTTAATAGCAGCACTGTTTAGTGACTTGTTCATGTAACAATCATATATACTGAACACTTTTAATAACAGCATTGTTTAGTGACTTGTTCATGTAACAACCATATATACTGAACACTTTTAATAACAGCATTGTTTAGTGACTTGTTCATGTAACAACCATATCTCCTAAACAGTAATATGAACTCCATTGATTAGTACTTGTTCATGTAATGACCATATTTACTACACAGTAATATAAACTCCATTGTTTAGTGACTTCTTCATGTAACGACCATATCTCCTAAACAGTAATATGAACTCCATTGATTAGTACTTGTTCATGTAATGACCATATTTACTACACATGTAACAATCATATACACTGAACCCTTTTAATAACAGCATTGTGTAGTGACTTGTTCATGTAACAACCATATTTCCTATACTGTAATATCAATTCCGTTGTTTAGTTTACTTATTCATGTAACAACCATATCTACTACACAGTAATATCAACTCCATTGTTTAGTGACTTATTCATGTAACAACCATATGTACTACTCAGTAATATCAACTCCATTGTTTAGTGACTTGTTCATGTAACAACCATATGTACTACACAGTAATATCAACTCCATTGTTTAGTGACTTGTTCATGTAACAACCATATCTTCTACACAGTAATATCAACTCCATTGTTTAGTGACTTGTTCATGTAACAACCATATCTTCTACACAGTAATATCAAAAGTATTGACTCACTTATCTGATTTGATGATAATTTGATTTCATGTAGTGATTGTAATAAATCTGAGATTTACAAACATTGCAGCTATTAAAAGTCATAATATATTTATTAAAACCACCATAATTCTAACCCTAACCAATCATCTACAAGGTGTATTAAGTCTTAATGAATCTCCAGGCGTGTTATATGAGGGTGTTTTCAGTGTAGACAATTACTGTAGCTTTTAATCAGATTTGATTTTACACACAATTATTTTAGAACAGAATGCTCATATCAGTAATCCAAATGTTGTAAAGATATTCTTTGTTACTGTAACTTCTAATTAAATAATATTTAAAATCAGTGAGTAATCTCAAAACAAAACTTCTATATAACTTTATTTACATACTTCTGATATGAAGATAAAACCTAAATGATGAGAAAGGAAGGTTTAATGGATTCTTAAACAGTATAAGCTGTCCTTGAGATTATTCTTTAAATTCCAAGAAAATGGTTATTGACATTTAGTTAAGAGAATTCTTTAAAGAATTATTTCTTAATAAAAATTATTCGCTCTGTATATAATCTAGGTGCTTGAAAATGGAGGCTTGAAAATTAGTGATGTTTTAGTAACAGACAGAGGAGAATATACGTGCTATGCAACCAACAAATTTGGAGATACATCTGCTAGTGGTGTCCTTGATGTGAAAGGTAATTAATTATTATAATCATGAAAATTAGTGATATTTTAGTAACAGCTTGCTAGTCAGACCAGGTTTATATTATTATCTTGTTTATAAAGAGCTTGCAATACTTGTCCAGGCAAACTGTCCAGCTGAAGAAACTGTTGTAATCAGAGTTTTTGTTATTTCCTTTATCTTCATCATGCAATATTTTTCCAGGGAAAACTCGAATCACTCAACCACCAGAAAACTTTGAAGTAGCTGCAGGAAAGTCAGCAACATTCCGATGTAACGCCGAAGCTGATCCAAGTTTGGAACTCACAATTGAGTGGCAGTTTAATGATCAACCTGTAGATTTTGACCAGGACCCTCGTATGGTACAGGCAGCAGACAATTCTTTAACTATAACAAAGACTCTGGAGTTGGACTCTGGGGTGTACACTTGTGTTGCACACACGGTTCTTGATGAAGATACAGCTTGGGCTACCCTCACTGTTCAAGGTACTTTTACACACATGCTTTTGTTTTAAAAATGCAAGTCCGCTGATGCTCGTGTTAACATGCTTTAACAGTGTGAGATATGTGTTTGATGCTCATGTTAACATGCTTTAACAGTGTGAGATATGTGTTTGATGCTCATGTTAACATGCTTTAACAGTGTGAGATATGTGTTTGGTACTCATGTTAACATGCTTTAACAGTGTGAGATGTATGTTTGATACTCGTGTTAAC